GACAATCTGGAATCACCCAACCTCTACTTTCACAATTTGTCAACTCTTGTATCTCACCTATTCTACTTTACTGCTCCCCGCGAGTCTTTCCTGGTCTACTGAAAAAGGACTATGCCATCCTGAGAAGGATGTTGAAGGTACTTAGCAGGACTAGTGGTGTAAAACTCAGTCAGCTCGTCACTACATAAGTTGAAAGGCATCTGGATATATGCGAAAAATGGTGTAAAACCATACTCTCCGACCCTGAACACCCCCTCTATTCCCAACTCTCGCCTTGTATCTCATCAAGTAGGACGAGAAATCAGTATAAAATAATTTATGCTCTTATAACCAAGTACAGGAACTCAACGGTACCATATTTGGCCCGTGTTCTAAGTGACAGAGACAATGTTAAGTGCGAAACCTATGACTTGCTTTGTTGTTAATAACATAATTTTAGGCTCTTTTACTTCTCTCTTATTTTGTATTCTTTAGTGAACTCCTTCTTAAATACACTTGGCTACCTAAAATATTATCCTGGACTTCATTATTGGCCTATTCCTTGTTCTATATCTGGTTCTATTCGTGTTCCTAGTAGTGGTGCTACTCGTGGTCCCAGTCGTGCTCCTAGTCCTGGTCCAATCCTGGTCCTAGTCGTTTTGAAAACAGTCCCCACAAGTATTCCCACTTCGTCATCCAAACTGCAGTTTCAAAGTGCTCTCTGTCTGTCTGTCAAATGCACTCAATTATTTACCGTGACTGACATCATGCTGGTGATTCTATGTATAATCAACTGTGCATAATTTCCTTCATTCTGTGTTTTTTTTTCTCTAATAGAAGGTCGTCATTTAACAACCATGCATGAATCACATGTGGTAGCTGATCTCTTCACACTATTGATTGACTGGTCACTTGTTTTAAGAGAGCGAACAGTGTGGTCGAAGTCGTCGATTACCAACAGATCCAAGAGCGAATCCATTGCTGTCTTGTTCGTCCAAGTCACCTAAGAATACAAATATTATAGTGAATACGTTGAAAATACCAACAGGCAACAAAGCGAGCTGAAGTGAATATTCCTGAAAAAGGCATTTTCCACGTTCATCAAGTCAAGAGAGAGGGACTAATAAGTGAAACCAATTGACAGATTCGTTTAGACTTCAGGAAATCTTGTCAAAACTATGAACTACTTACACAAGTTAGTAGGAGAAACACATAAAAAGACATTCAAGTTGTAATTCTGCCTTGTAATATTAGTGAATTCATCTTTCCACCGGAGTGAAGCTGCTTTGTGACAGAGTGAATAACATACCACATTTGGATGAAATTTATCTTTCATTGTGTATATATTGTGTTGAGCAAAATAAAAACTGAATCCTTTTGAGACAACCCTTCTCTTTCCCTCAGTAGTCAGCAGCTACAGATTCTAATGTAATCCCGTCGACTGAGACAGTCAGTCGGAGTATTTTAGTCAGTCTCCGTTCAATTATTTTAGAACGAGAGATTTCAACAAAGAGCGATTTAAATCAATTCTGGCAGAGTACTATTATCAGTATATAAACGGGAGAATAAGCTCACCCAGACATCTGGAAAATTACGCTGCTCATATGACCGATAGAATAGAATAAAGAAAACCATGAAACGAAAGTTTCGAAGCTGTGTAGTTATAATTAGTGTGATATGATTATGAACAATAAAGAAATGAATTGTGTTCGAAAGGCGTCGTCATCCAGTAATCAGTAATACTGTTTCACTCTGTGCGTGTGCATGTGCGCGTGGTATATCTAATGAACAAATTAATATGGAATTACATGCTACCACCACACTGCCCAAGGTTTACACTTTGAAACGTATATTCTACTTATCACAGGTTGTTTATTATTCTTATGTTGCATATACCACCAGTATTTTAAGGGAAATAAATCGTAGCCCCCCCCCCCCCTCCTCTTTACATGATCGCATTAACACTTGCACTGGCGTATTAGTTGACAGACCACCACATCACTCAACTTCACTGGTTAGTATTTCCTGACCGTAAACTATTGTAACTTATTGAATAATTATTAAACAGACCTCCCTCTGTTGTGCATATCGCCCTCCTCCCTGTTTATAGTCATCCTGCCAGCGGAGGTAATTGCTGATAAGCCGTAGTAATAGAGTAAGTACCTCATTATACCCAAATACAACAATCCCGTGTGGTGAATATGGCTTGTTACGCATGCATTATGTTTTCCAATTTGACAACACTTTTTCACCTCGACGAACAACAAATACCATTATTATTATTAATGCATGAATGGCGTATAAGCTTGTTAGAAATATTTATTTCAACAAATACAATTCTTATATTACAAATGCTACATCATTCAAATGCATAATCGCCTGTTTATGCTTCACGAAGGGCTCTAAATTATAGGCTGGACGGTTGCCGAGGTGACGGTTGTAACCTGGAAATAGGAAAACAATAAAAGATGTGTCACAAAATGATGACTATTAAAATAAGTGCTAAGAAACAAAGTTATGCTTTATGTCACACAAACACAAACACATATGGAAGACTTGCAGGCTGACTGGTTGGCAGGCGGTGAAGTCAGATGGATTCCATCCAGGCGAGGAACATAGACAAGGTGAAGCAGTGAAGGTGAGGAAGATAATCAACCAACCACTACCAACAACAACAACAACAAGCAGTAGCTCCAATCACCATGAATGGGAGAAAGCGGTTCAAAGAGGTTACTTCCTGCATTCACTCATCTAGCAAGCACGCTTACAACCACAAGCAGTCGGTCGGAATGGATGAAGACATGAAAACCACCAGCTAGCCAGCCAGCCAGAATGGGAAAGTCTGGGGAGGTAAACCTCATTCATCAACCTGAAATCCATTTGCAAGTCTTCTGCAATAACTCAGTAGAACAAAGAACAAGATTCAGATTCTTCACACAAATGTCAGTGAAGTCAGTCAGCCAGTCAGTAAGTTCTTCTGTAGGGGTCATCGCACGACTAGGACCATGTGCTCAGCCAGATGAAGAGGACAGCAGAGAATAGAAGAAGGTGGATGATATGTGTTGTTGAAGCCATATGTTCCACTCGGAACCCAAAGGAATAATAAAATATCGAAACAAAGCACCTTTGAGTTAAAAGATTGTCTCTCTCCACTGATATCTTACCAATCAATCAACTCACATTCTCTTCTGGTTGTAAAATCTTGTGAGTATTATGAAATTTTCATAACACTCATATTCGAACACACTTCTTCATCATCATTTAGGAAAACATGTTCCATTTACCTCAATTGTTTCATATTTCTTACTGGAATTAACAATTTACGAGGAATTTCAACATTTCTGATACACACACTAACATGTTAACTCGATGACAAGTAGATGTTCAATCAAAATGTTGAGAATGACTACCACTTTTATCCATTTCTACGCTTAAAATCTGGCATTCGTAGTGCATTTCAGTGGAGAAATCTCATGGAAACAACGTAAAACAACTCAAACCCAATGACAACTGACTTCTGCACCAGTCAACTGATGTGTGCCGCTATCCATTGTCACATATGCTTGCTGTCTGGACTTCAGTTATCCTCACGTAAAAGAAGGTTATTACTACAATTCATGTGCTTCCTGTTTGATTCTCGATACAAGTTCTTAATTCGATTGGAAAAACAGAACATGGAGAAGATGTAGACGAACTATGCGTGATAATGACTTCGACAACTGGTCTCTCTCTCATTCTGGAGTCGGCTACGTTAGCGTCAATGTTATTTCTTGTATCTACAAAGTGTAATAGAATTGAAGCCTATGTGCATTTCATATCACCCTGTCCGAACCAAGCCAGTAAATCTCTACAAAATCCGTAAACGAGTCTGTATAGTCGTATGCCTTCCCCATATAAACTTGAACTTCAGGACACAATTAACAGGATATACATATGAAGATGAGGCGCTAAGATTACATAAGACGATTGGATGGATACAGAGTTTTCTCTGTCACTATGGTTAGACATTGGGATAGAATCTCTGTAGGAGTATCTCATTAGAATTGTAGACACAGAAATAACTGCTGCTTTTCTCCTCCAACATAGACACTTCATGTTTTCGACTATTACAACTTATGTTCACTCATATAACGTCTCTGTATACCTTTATCGTACACTAAAGAAGTGTCATCCATGCAGTGAGAGTACAGTTCAACTTTCAGTTTCGGTTTCCTCCTTTAGTGAGAAACATATTCAGAAATCTACGACCTAGTGGAAATCACATTGGCTACTCTTCCATCAACCGGTCTACACATTCGCATTATTCCAAAGAAACTGGACATCCCCAAAGCAATAGGTATATATCAGTGAGTGACCAACGGTTTCCACCCCAGGTGGATTAGTGAATCAGGAGGAAACATCCAGGGTTAACGTATGTTTATCAGTTATGTTCAGTTGGTTCACCCTATCAATGAACAAAAAGGGTATCCTTGACGCAAAGCTTCACTAACTGATTATTCAGGCGTTGAAGTAACTAACTGTACTAGCCTAGCCACTTTGGAATCTTGTGATATGGTGATGCTGACATTTCTAGTACAGGACAGAGTGTCACTACTTGATCTATACACTCTTGATAGACCTCGTATTCGAGGAATGGTGATGCCTGTGAATTTGAAGTTCTCGTATGTTGTTCTTTCAGTAGGATAGTTAATTAGTCAGTGAGTTAATTATACCTAGTTCTTCTACTCGCACGGTTTGTGAAAGTTTCTGTCGTTCTCCAGTGTTCATGTCTTGGAGTCGTCTTGTGAGGTTTGATAATGACTATGTATCTATATAGCCGGAGTCTTTTAACAACCGCCTGTATATGCTGATCGTTGCTTAGGTGGTATATACTTAGGGCTGTGAGCTTATTCTCCCGTTTATATACTGATAATAGTACTCTGCCAGAATTGATTTAAATCGCTCTTTGTTGAAATCTCTCGTTCTAAAATAATTGAACGGAGACTGACTAAAATACTCCGACTGACTGTCTCAGTCGACGGGATTACATTAGAATCTGTAGCTGCTGACTACTGAGGGAAAGAGAAGGGTTGTCTCAAAAGGATTCAGTTTTTATTTTGCTCAACACAATATATACACAATGAAAGATAAATTTCATCCAAATGTGGTATGTTATTCACTCTGTCACAAAGCAGCTTCACTCCGGTGGAAAGATGAATTCACTAATATTACAAGGCAGAATTACAACTTGAATGTCTTTTTATGTGTTTCTCCTACTAACTTGTGTAAGTAGTTCATAGTTTTGACAAGATTTCCTGAAGTCTAAACGAATCTGTCAATTGGTTTCACTTATTAGTCCCTCTCTCTTGACTTGATGAACGTGGAAAATGCCTTTTTCAGGAATATTCACTTCAGCTCGCTTTGTTGCCTGTTGGTATTTTCAACGTATTCACTATAATATTTGTATTCTTAGGTGACTTGGACGAACAAGACAGCAATGGATTCGCTCTTGGATCTGTTGGTAATCGACGACTTCGACCACACTGTTCGCTCTCTTAAAACAAGTGACCAGTCAATCAATAGTGTGAAGAGAACAGCTACCACATGTGATTCATGCATGGTGGTTAAATGACGACCTTCTGTTAGAGAAACAAAAACACAGAATGAAGGAAATTATGCACAGTTGATTATACATAGAATCACCAGCATGATGTCAGTCACGGGAAATAATTGAGTGGATTTGACAGACAGACAGCACTTTGAAACTGCAGTTTGGATGACCAAGTAGGAATACTTGTGTTGACTGCTTTAAAAATAATTTGTAGATGAATTTTAAATAGAAGGAACACTGTGTCTTTTCTCCGTAAGTCTGAATAAAAAATATTCATTCATCCGACTGTATGTATTTTAGTTCGATAATCTCAATATTCTGTAACACTACTGCAACAAATTCAATAGATGGTCATCGGTTAATATCTGTGGGTGATGTGTAGATTATTTGTTGACGGATACTATCACAACTGTAGGTGTCTCATCCTCTCAGTAGACTACTTCAGGTGGATAACCAGTGTGTGTATGTGCAAAAGATCCTAAGCATGATTATAATAATAATAATAATAATAATAATAATAATAATATAGATTTATATATGAAATTTTAACCAATGACGGTGATTTTGGGAATCAAATAATAATAATCTTAATAATAATAATAATCTTAATAAAAATAATAATAATAATGTGGTAAATGTTTTGAACGTAGTTAATAACGATGATTATAATGACAACAAAGTATTGATAATAAGGTTTATGCAGGTGACAAGAATAACAAAGATAATAATAATAATTTGCTTTATTCCAGAAACAGTACTAGTGGTACAGTGTGGAATTTTCAGCACATATCTACAATATTTGCATCCGATTTTATCAAACATTTAAAAGGAGTATTTCAAAAAATAAATATAAAGACAACAACAACAAAAAAAACAAAAAAACCACAAAAATAATTTTGTTCTAAATGCGAAAAAATACCAAGAAGTAGAAAGGAAAATAAACAACATAATAAATAATATCTCAGTATTGGGTCGTGGAAGCTATGATATGATTGTGCATGGTGACAGTAAAGCTGTAGTCATACAAGTTACGAAATGACATTTAAGAATGTCTATCGCCAAGATGATCAGTTAATTTGGTTGAAACAACACTAAACAAACATTAAATAACATTTCAGGGTTGTGTTTTTTATTGTCAGGTCTAATGCGGTGTTTGTAGTAGTAGTGTGAGTAATCCTGAATAATACAAAATTTTTTAAGGTGGTGATAATGACTTTCACAACCAAGATTGTCAGTTTAATATTGCCGAACAAAAGAAACAACAACCACAAAAGCTTATAATTACATGATGGTAATTTGACAGGACAATTTTGTAGTACTCATAGTGGTGATATAGTCGGAACCAGTAGACACACAAAAGAAGGAATAGAGTAAAGTGCAAAAAAGGAAGCCAATGTTAATATTTTAGGTAGCCAAGTGTATTTAAGAAGGAGTTCACTAAAGAATACAAAATAAGAGAGAAGTAAAAGAGCCTAAAATTATGTTATTAACAACAAAGCAAGTCATAGGTTTCGCACTTAACATTGTCTCTGTCACTTAGAACACGGGCCAAATATGGTATCGTTGAGTTCCTGTACTTGGTTATAAGAGCATAAATTATTTTATACTGATTTCTCGTCCTACTTGATGAGATACAAGGCGAGAGTTGGGAATAGAGGGGGTGTTCAGGGTCGGAGAGTATGGCTTTACACCATTTTTCGCATATATCCAGATGCCTTTCAACTTATGTAGTGACGAGCTGACTGAGTTTTACACCACTAGTCCTACTGACTACCTTCAACATCCTTCTCAGGATGGCATAGTCCTTTTTCAGTAGACCAGGAAAGACTCGCGGGGAGCAGTAAAGTAGAATAGGTGAGATACAAGAGTTGACAAATTGTGAAAGTAGAGGTTGGGTGATTCCAGATTGTCTTACTTTCTTAATGTAGTAGGTAAGACAGAACACTTTCTTAGAAATCATTAGGATATGAGATGTCCAAGTAAGGTCGGAAGATAGAACTAGACCACGTTATTTGATTGTTTAGACAGATGAAATGAAGTAAAGTGATCATGGAGTTTTGGAGGCACAGTCTGATGACTGCTTCTTCTTTTTCTAACAATTCCCTTCAAGACATTATCCTCTAGGAATTATTCGCTCACCTTATCAACAATATTCACACATGTAGGAATCAGTGTACTTTTTCAATGTAATGTGGGAATAAGAATAGCTTTATTCAAGATAGTACTTTTAGGTACAAATATGGAATTTTCAACGTGTAGTAGTACAGTCGGTCGGCCGGTCGGTTTTCGACATAGAACTTTGCACATATGTGCGGCAGTTCAAGTCGCCACACTCAATGTAGCACAAAAAGCAAGAGAAGAAAGTAGAAAAAATGCATAATATAGACAGTAAACAGAGGTGGGAGACAAAGGAATAGTAATAACGGAGAACAAAACAGTTTAATTGGAAATCATAAGTCACAGGGAGTGGATGCATCTGCGCCACTGAGAACGATTTTGAGCCATGTCACCAATTGTTTCCAACCATTGGTTTTTACCGTCCCGAGGACCCCAACCAGTCAGGAAGTCTACACCTTCCTACGTTTCTGGTTTAAACTAACTGTTGTAGATTTCATTGACTGGTGCCATGTTTTGGTTTGACCGCCGCTAGCTCTTTTCCAACCTGACCCTATGTCAGCTAACATTACCCATTGTCGAGGAAGGCGATGACTAGGCATACGTAGCACATGTCCTAACCATCTCAGTCGAAGTAATTTCACAGTTTCGTCGATTGATTTCCCCGCCTTAGTACAGTACAGTATTGTATCTAGTTTTCTCATTACAGGGGTCAAATAATTAAAGTAAAGCATAAAATTAATAATATTGTTCAATAAGAAAATGAATATAAAATTAAATCAGGGGAAAATATTAACGACAATATAACAATAAGAGCAAAATAAAAATTGCCCAGTTCCACACTGAGCTGATAATTTCCTGCCTTACACCACTCTCATCACATAAAATGTGTCACGACTAAATAACGTATTGTACAGATTTTGTACCTAGTCGTCCAAGAATAAAGTCCTCCATAGTTGCTTCTAGTTCATCTAGTTCATCAGATGAGATAGATCCTAAAAGAGAGTTGTGTGTGTGTGTGTGTGTGTAGAGAGAGCACGTTCACAGTCTGACAAGAGTTTGCCAGTATTTGCTAATTCTTCGCAGGAGTCCATGTGCCCATCTACAATAGCATTAACGAGTTGGAATAGCAGCACCCCACTCACTCTCTCTACTCACTGCTCTTAGTGCCATTCGCAGTGTAACAAAGTCATTCTTAAGCGTAGCCCAGGAAAGATTAAGGGTAAGCAGTAAAGTAGAACGTCAAACCAAAAATATCCTTCTGGAAACTAACATGATGTGCGAAGACCAGGAAAGGTGATGAGACGAAATACACAGTCCAAAGTATTTAACAACATTCGATTTAGTTTCAACTTCAGTACCACGTGTGATGATAGTGGAACCGTGCCAACTAACCAATTCACCTAGGTTACGCTTGCATCTGAAAGTGAAATTAACCAACTGGCATTTGTGGAGAGATTCAGCTCAAGGACTAATGATTAATTTCCGATAAAAATTTATTCATTTTGGAACAGTCTGACTGAGAAGTAACCGCCGGGATAGAAACAGTCAGATCATCGGCATTATTATTATTATCACTCCATTAGGTTCCGAGTGGAAAATAGGGTGTCAGTAGCACACCTCCACTTTCTTCTCCATTCTCTGCTCTCCTCATCATCTGGCTGATACAACGCTCGCCCATAACCTCTCATCCCCCCCTCCTACAAATCATATCATCTCCCCCATGTCAACACAGCACCGACCACCGACTGGTCGGTTCCCATTTGGGTCTCACTCGACCGATGGCCTGCATTACGCGCGATGTCATTCGATAGCCTCCTCAATGTATGCCTAAACAATCAGTCTCCATTCCATGGAAAATTCCATTTTCTGGACGTAAAGTTGGAGAGAAAATACGACGGGACACTCGGAAGATCTGTATATCGTAGAGACACATGCAGTGGTCTTTACCTGAGATACAAACGAACGCTAGTAAAAACGCTTTTCTCTATACCGAAGAGAATATATTCACAGAACAAAACTAGACAGTGAACTAATGCTTCTTGAAAAGTACTTGAAAGAAAATGGTTACCCACAAAGTTTCATTAAAAAATATGGCAAGAGTGTGAACTCAAGAGGCTTGATACTGCTACAGTCAGTAAGAAGCCTATTTTCATCAAACTCGACTACAAGGGCGACGACATTATGAGAATGATAAATAAAAGATTAAGCGCAGCCCTGTCTAGGACGTATCCTGCGGCATTATTAGTCTCTCTACCCCGAACAACCTCCTCACTGGTGCAGTCATAGATTGACAAGTACCCTTCACATGTTACCTCCAACTGTATATACCAATTCACATGTATCTGCGGGAGTAGTTACATTGGAAGAACAGAGAGGAGGGCCTACGTCAGATTCTGCGAACATGTACCAAGAAGCGAGCATCCGGTTAAAGGGACCGAATTGTTCAAACTCTTCAATCACCAAACACCTGACTGACATAGGACACCGAGTAGATGTACTGGAAGCATTCAAAATAATTAACAGACAAAGTACCTCAAGTCTTCTCAGGTTTGCTGTAGCTATAACAATAAAACGATTGACTTATGTGTCCAAAAAGAATCCGTGACCCTGGTGACTCACTTCTTCTTAGTAACTCTTTGTTTTCTAATTTTGCTAACTTATCTTTTCACTCGCCGCTCCCCCACCTGTCTTTTTCGCTTGACTCTCTTAAGAGAAATTTTGATCTTTTCTTATCTGATTACGTAACTATTACTAATTTTATTTTGTCACCACCCCAACAACACAACTGTTAATTATTTTTTTTCAAGAAACTTCTCTCTGACAAGATACATATCTATGTGTCGTAACACTTAAGACACCTTGTAAATCGCAACGCTTTATTTCACTATGACGCTCTGACTATATGCTTGT